GCCTGGTAAGTCTTCACTCTTATTTAAGACTTCTAGGGTTTACGAACAAAAATAAATAGTAAAGTGTCAACTAGAAGCACCCAGCACTCCCACTTTGACCGATGCATTAATCTCACGCTCTGTTAAGAGTCTATATTTTTGGATTTTTTGGGTGGCTAACATTGAATGTTTGCAATAACAGGCGTTAACAGGTGTGAGATGCAATCCCATGTTACAAAACTTTGGAAACATGCTCAGGTGGCCCTCATTGCCTTCCCGCTGCCTCAGTACAATGTTTCTGCACATGCTCTGTGAAATATACACCTCACACACCACTGGAGTAAATTATGTAACTATAAGTCACAAAGACTTCTAGTTTTACATGAGGACAACAAGTGAGCGCAGTGGTTGGACAAAGGACACTAACAGAAACGCTCCCCATCCATCCACTGTTGCCAGGCTCACAAAACTCTGGGGGTCCAAGTACTGCAGGTGCAGCCTGTAAAAGAAGCTTCACAGTGTAATTCTGACCAAAGGTCTGTCTGTGTAATGTGACAATAAACAGTGATTTAAACGGTTACAAAGCCAGAAAAGCCTGTGATTCAGTGCAGGCTGCAGGTATAACCAGTCCAGTCAGATCCATCTTTCCTTAGCGTAGCACTGGATTCAAGAGGCTTCGTATAGAACAGGGGCAGTTCCATTGTGAAGCCCTGCCCTTCCACATACAGTGGTTCATCTAACAGTCCAGGGCAATATAAACACAAGTTTTACCATGAGCTACAGTCACAAAGAAAGCAGGGCTTGGGTGTTTAGCGGCGCTTTCTCTATGACAGTCGTACAAAGTACAGCAGTCACATGCTGACTACAGTGCTGGACAGTCCACACATGGGAGGGAGAGGAGGAGGAAGAAGAGGAGGGAAAGGAAGAGGTGTAAGAGGAGTATACAGGTGAAGAGAGTGAAGAACAATGGAGTAAACAAACAACTATTCTTTTGCTCAACTACAACTAAAAGCAGCAAAGTCCTATAACAGGGTCTTTGACTTTTCACTCAAACTACTTTTTGATTCAGCATAGCTTGAAGATCTACCTTTAACTTATGTTAAAAATAATAGCATTTTATTAAAAATGGAAAATGTTTTAGGCATAAGAATTAACTTGCCTTCCCTTTAAAACAACTGATTATTTTGAAAATGGTGGTCACAACTAAATAATAGAAGTTTAAGCTTATAAACATGGAACTATTTGATTATATCAGTTATTGGTGAGGCAATCCTCCTGGTAATGCTGAGGGGAAGGGCTTGAGACTTTCAGAATGTCAGTTTTCCTTTGTTGCACATCATAAACACAGTTTAAGACATAAACCGTGTGAAAAGAAAGGATTATACAACACTACAGCCTCTTTTCCATGGGCACAGTTCTGTTGGGGCTGCCTCGGAGCAGGTCTGTTTGGTGTGAGACAGTGACATCACGAAAGTCATGTTTTCCTACTCTGAATTGTACTCTGAATTACGAAACATCTTTTTGTCATTTGTTTAGATCTGCCATACAATTGTAAGTTTGTCTGTGAAACAAAACTAAAGCTAGCATGAATACAAAACTACTTCCTGTTTTCTGGAACTGGAAATAATACTGTCTCCATAGGTGCACCACTGCACCTATAATAATCCACTCCTATGGTGATATTAAATAGCCTGTGACTGGCAAATCAGATGATTACAGGTGATCACATTAGGTCAGAAAGTGCTGTTAAAGAGGAGGTCCGCATGGACAGTTAAAGGAGAGGTCCGAGCATGCTGTTAAAGGGATGGGCCAGCGCTATTCAAAGAGCCATCTGGAGCACCTTGGGTTCATCAGAGGCACATCTTTGGACAAAGGAGAAGGAGCCGCGGGGCTGTGCGTGGGCGGCCTGTGTTCAAAAAGGGACAAGAGCTACACAGAGACCATTACTACATTTCCATTTCAAATAACAGGGCACCTCTGCAGCTTATCTTATTCCATTGGAGGCACACAACAGTAGCTGCTGTGTATACACGCAATAGACATATGAACCATTTTATAAGGTTAAACTTGAGACTTTAACCTTCTGTAAAAGGTATTTGTCAAGTTCATGTATAGTTTATCTAAGTGATATGATGACACTAGACTCCCCCTTCATGTTCACTCTCAATTTTCTATTAGAATTTATTTGGTCTTTTACTGAAATTAAACAATACAAAACTTTTAATCACTATTATTTAACAAAATATAAATAAAAGGCAAGCTGATCACTGACTAAGATACGGCTGAATCTCAAACTCAATCCAAATTGGATTAATTACACAGTCCTTCTTCAAACTTTGTCAAATGTGTTCCCTTACCATAACAGTGAACCACATGAAACAAGCCGGCTGCTGGTCGATGTAATCCATAATATATGAAACAAACAGGAAAAAGAAACTTATGCTTTTGCTGGTAAGGCTGTACCTTCTACACTCTGGGTGCCCTTATTTTCCACTGCAGATAAACACTCGGCTGACTGTGCTGCTAAGCAGCTTGTTGCCATGGAGAAGCCACACAGAGCTGATATCAATACCAACTCCACATGAAAAACTCACACCTTCAGCCTTAACTGTAAACAGAGCCGTACAGCATGTGCAGTGACACGTGCACGCTCATACGTGCACACTCATACGTGCATGGAGGAGAATTAACCAAACAGGGAGTCCCTTCGGTTTTACTAACAGAGATAGAATTACCTCAGCCCGAGTCACTGTCTTATCCTCATCAGCAGACAGGCCTTGTATTACCTCCTTACTTTGTTGTGACTGTTGAGGAATTTCAGAAATCTATTTCACAGGTGTAGGTCATAATCACTCCACAACTTCACATTTTAAATTAAATACTATGCAGCACTTCAGAAGCTGTTATTGTTTGTAATGTGCAGTTATTGTTTATAATCTGCAGCGATATAAACAATGTAGATTTGTATTTGACATTCTTGTTATTCACTTCAAATATTCTCCAATATCAGAAAATGCAACAGTCATACAATCATAAAGTGACCTAAACACAGGCCTGAGACGGTCTCCTAACAGAGCACAGTGCACTGGGATAAAAGGGCCATGTTGTGGATAGGAGCCAATGCCACATCAGTGAATGGTCCAAGTCTAGTTAATGTTAAAGATAGATAGATAATACATTATTATCCCAAAGCAAATTGACTAGGTCTGGAAAATTACTTGCAAATCGAAATTTTAATGGAATGAATGAAATCGCCACAAAGACTGCAACAAAAAAACAATAAACTCTGTAATCAAGACTTCTACAAACATGAATCACATTCTAGTATTACACTAGTAATGCTTATCAGAGAATTTGCAATTACATAATTTTTTTCCAGAATCAAAGCAGCCCCAGTCGCCATAATTAATGAGCTTGATACTGCCAACTCATTGATTCTGTAGTATTTTAAGCATGCCCATTGCCCACATTTTTACCTTTCTATGAGAGGATTTCCAGCATAGAAGCTTTTCCCTTCTGTGACATAATCCTTATTATGGCTGCATCTGTCAACATTCAGCCACATATGAAAAGTGAGCCAGCTACAGCACTAACCGACTAAGCCTCCGCAAAAGCAACACCAAACATCATGGGTCAAAACAAGTTTAGCTCAGCTCTCCACATCACAGCATTCAACAGGGTATGCACAGAAAACCATCTGTTATTGCCTTTAAAAAAGTATTCCAATTTGAAACTTTAAGTGACACTTGTGTTGTCCATCACCACTCAGCACTGATAGTAGACAGTAGTAGTGTATTATTACTCATTAGAAGAAGTAAATATGTGTTATGGAGTTGCTATGACAATTGCTATTATTACATCAAGTGCATTTCATACACTCAGTGTACACGTAGCCGTTTAACAACAGTGCTATAAAAGAGTCATAGAATGTAATGATCACTACATGTATTGCAGTATTACCCTACTAAAAAAAATAATATTAGTTAATAATCATTTAATTATGATAACTTAATATTACCCTAATGTGAATCATGTGTATTGTGTATTATATTGTATTGAATCGTGAGGGACCCTGTGATAGTCTGTCCCAGTATGCGGGATGTGTGACGCTTCAGTGTTGTTTGTAAACAGTAACTAATTTGTCAAAACACAGGAAAATATCAAGTGGATGACCAGTGATCAAAAAGATGAATAAACCCATTATATAAACAAGGTGTATACAACTGGGCACTCTTTGGTTCAATAGTTGTGGCTCAGAAGGACCAGGTCCTGTGAAGTCCTGAACTGCTCTCTCCATCAGTGTTATTAAAGTACACTTGTACATTAACTTCAAATCTAACCTACTACATCACAAAAATAAAAAGCTAACCTTACATGTTTAATACTGACTGTCCTCTCCTGTGAGACAGGCTAGAGACACAGTCAGTCCTGACACAGTCCAAACGGTACCCCATAGTAAACATTAGTCATCACTTCCTCCGCTCCGCCACAAAACCAGGTCTGCCGGTATCGACACACAGCGGCTCAGCGTCCACTGTGACCGACGCTGTCCAGCTTAGGACAAAACACATGTAAATGTCCTTGTGTGGTGAAAGAGAAAGGACGGAGCCGGCTAGACTAGCGTTACTGGTCTGCAAGGCCCCGTCGCTCTGTTCAGCACCACTACAGAGCTCAGTAGCTTGGGCAGGCTAAAACCACTACCCTTTTAGCTTAGCACGATATGTGAACTATCACTACAGGAGCTAGGCGTTTAGCATGCAGTCCACTGGACCTTGACAGCCAGATAGCCTCTTCACAGAACCTCCACACACTACACACCAAAGGCAGATCTGCGCTTTACACCACAATATAACTAGACTCAGATTATGCTCGGCTTTCATCCAGTTTAGCCAATGCTAGTCCGATATAACCCAGTGCTACGGAGGAAGCTAACGTCTGCTACAGCTACATCGGGCTGTTGTTTTCCCCACCACACCGCACACGAAAATTAGCGCCCGTCTGGCCTCGGCACACTCGCTTACCTCGGACTAAATATCCTTCCTTCTACTGCAGAGAAACTGGCAAAAGTGTGAAGCGTTGCCTGACGGTAGATTCCTCTTTTTCGCCGTTCATTCGTGTGTGTTTCTGTCCTGTGCTTCAGCTCTTCAAACACAGACGCCAGTGTTAAGTACCAGCCGCTCCGGAGCGCGCACAGTTGTTCAACTCGCGGGGGCGCGCTCTGCACGAGCTATGGAGCTGCTACATTCAGGGCCTGTATTTTCATGTACAAATTAATAAAATAAACAATTTAGTGTTGCAATACACACTTAGTATGCAAATGACACGCAATAGATATACAGGTTATAACGGGTTTAGTTTTTTTTGTATTTAACAGTTTAATGCAGTACTAATTTTTAATGCGGTATTATTTGTTGTCATAGATCATGAAAATCAGTCTTTGCAGTGTAGTTACTCTACAATGATGCAACTCCATGAGATGAAAGATTAAGCGGTCGTGTGCCTGCTTCCATATAATCTGGACATAAGGCATTCCCTTCACCCAAACAGAAAGAAGGGAGGGGGGCTGTGGGTCTGTGGGAGTGGCTAAAGATTACACAGGGCCTGTACAGAGAAGAGAGCAGGCTTGGTTATGTAAGTGCATTGTCCCAGCAGGCTAGCAGTAGCAGTCTAGTGCACAAGACAGTAGGGTTCAGGCAACAGCAGAGACCGCACTCTTGAAAATGTAATCCCATTGTCCTGTTGTGAGCAGAGGCTTATGGGATGTAAGTGAGTCCTTATTCACACACTTCAGTAACCTCTGAGAAACAACAGTCTGTTGTATCCTGCGCTTGCAGCATGCAACAAACATAATGAAATATGGTGTATGATGCTGAGAGTGGTATTACATAGACAGTCGCACCGATAGGTCAAAGAGCTGATGTGTTACCACAGATGATGATGCTGGGATTCTTCTGACTTGATTATTATGATGACACAATGTAAAGTAGTAGAACTTTAGTCCTGTTGCAGTAAGGAAGAATTTTCAGTTTCTCATAAATGATCATGTAAGGAAACAAAATGCATAATATGTGTATTTACTGTATTTATTTCAGACATGTTTGAAATCTCCTAATGTGCATAGCTGAAGATATAATGAGTACTTTCACACATGGAAATGTGGGTTTCTGGAGATCTGGAGAGTCAAAACTTTTCATGACTGAATCCAAACAAGGATCCAGCAGTCACATGTGCGTGAGTTGGATGGTGTTTAAAAGTGAAGCCATGCTGTGGAGGAGGTCAGATACTAAAGAGAAGAATGCATGAGAGGGGGAAAGGGAAAAGAAGAGAAGGAAGTGGGGAGATTCAGAGCCAAATGTCAAACTCTGATACGACTGAGGAAAGAGACTTACAATATAGTGGGAAAAACAAAACATAAACTTAATTGAGAACTGAAAGATTAAAGCTGTCAGGAATCAGGTCCAGTTAGAACAAAGGGTTCTTCAGCATTTCTGGAGCAGCTTTAGGCACAGTCCTCTGTGAGCTGTGGAGCTTTTGTTGGTGGAGCAGGAGAGGTGGAGCCAGATGCCAAGCTTTTTATAGGCCTAGGCTAATGTCCTGAAAAATGTATGGCCAGTTTTTTTCCTTATTATTTTATTTCTATCATATCTATTTGACTACAACTTATTTTTTAATTAAACTTTTAAAATAGAACAGAATAGAAAAAAAGTAACATTTAGTGAGGCACTGGTGGCAAAAAATGTTGTTGTGTCCATAGGCAATGCACTTCACCTACACTGCACTGCAGAGTGGGGAGTAAATGGGTAATGCACAGTGCATTATTGTTATTATTTAGGAAAGAATAAACACACAAAAAACTAAAGGACTGCTTTGCTTTTGTCATTCACACTTCTCAGCATCCTTTCACAATCTCACATGTTGATTCAGTTGACCACCTAACTAAAGAAAATACATCAAGCTTGATGTGAACACTTTAGTGAAACTAGCCCTGCACAAAATGTAACAGCACAGCTCTCTTATGAGTTGCAGTAAAACAGGTCTGTGGATAAGTTTGGCATATCATTTGGGAAACATTATCCAAATCAGTCCTGCTGCCCATAAAATATATACATAAAAAAGGCCACCTGTTGCTCTGGTTTCTAAACAATCAGCCACGAAAAACAGCAGTCTGTTTACTAATACCAATCTTATGGAGCCTTGATACATTTTAATAAATGCAATAAATTAACCCCAGGCTCTCTGACCTATGCACCATTATTTGTCCCATGTTTCATCTTCAAATATGATCTGAGATAAACACCTTTCCCACATAGTTTTAAGATTTTTAGCCTTGCTGTTTGGGAACAATATCAGAGATGACTCCACCAGATTTCTCTCATGTAACATACTTTAATTTTCCTGTTAAACAATCTCTCATCTATGAAGATTCTTTCAAAAGTGTCGTCTGGGATCCAGAATACACATTTCTTCAATACTGTATGAAGATGTGAATCTGATCACTGTTGAATATCCCTGAGTTCAGATGGGTGTGATTGACAGCTGGATGAGCCAGGAACCAATGAGGAATGTTATTTTGAAGAGAGAGGAATTTAATCTTGATTGTAAATGGTAAGTCACCAGTGAGCTCCTTCGTTTCACGTGTGTCACTGAAAAAACAAAAAAACAAAATTAAGATTGCACAATCATGTGTGGCTCTGGGACGAGGCGCGATGGAGCGGTGGGAACCAGAGTTATTCTGGATTTGCCAGGCAACAAAAGTTACCTTCTTCAACTGCGTCACAGGACATTAAAGATGTCTCCTCACCACGGCTTTTATAACTTAAGTGCAACTTCACATTTGGCCTCATTGCAAATGAAATGAGAGTGAAGCATTTACCTTCAGGGAATTCCTTTGAATTAAATTGATCATTTATTTAGTTTTTGCATTAACCTTAACAGGAGAGATGCATTGTACATCAGGTTGTAGCATAAGTGCTAATTTCCACCTGTAGTCCCTGGGCAGGTTCATTGATTGATTGTATTTAACTGACCTTGACTATGAACTGTTCTGGAGACCTGTGTAGCATGTTTTGGGTTGATGGAGGAAACCGGAGCGCCCAGAGGAAACCCATCCAGACAGGGGGGGAGAAACATGCAAACTCCACACAGAAAGGCCCAGGCGACCTGGGGATGGAAGTGCTAGCCACTCAAGCACCGTGCCGCCATTTGATTATTAATAAGAAATAAATAATAAGTGAGACACTTAATGAAGAAATTTGCATAACAGCAGTGAACTTGGTTTGGGCTAGTATCAGTAAATGCATTTGGTATTTAGTTACTGTAATGCAGCTGCTGTTGTTGCACATGTAACAAAAAGAGGTTATGGTCTGTCTTTGTACAAAACACGTGCTGTAAGTACACAGCATTCAGTGGTCCCCTTATATAATGTTGTTGTGATTTTTGAACACCTACAGTGTCCACCTTCAAATCCCCCAATATCCAGTATCCAGGAAGCTACATATTACCTTTCAGTGTTTGGGCAGCTTTTGTTTCAACAAGGGTGTAGTACCAAGTTCTGAGCCATAAACCATGGTGGGTCCACACTCCATAATCTCCATTAGAAAAATGCATAATTACAGACTTTGTGAGAGCTGCTTCCCACCACTAGGCCCGGATGAGCACCCTTTCATCTGATGCCCCAACACTGAAGTTTCTTCAAGCTTCAACTTCAGCATGATATCAGCTTCTACTTCTCATTGAAGACTTCAGCCATTTAAAAATGTGGTGTTTTGGAAGGTCAAGAAAGCAGTTCATGTTTAGCATATCAGAAATCAAACCCATAAATAAAATCGAATTTGAATTTTTTTCACCCTGTTGTATAAAAGTGTTTTGTGGCAGAAGATATTTTGAAATAAATATGGATTATTTTTTGCCAGAGTAATTTGAATTTTCACCTAAAAATACACATAATTTCACTTGCTTCTTACAAACTCTGCCATGTCAAACACCAAAAAAATGTAAAAACTATAGGCACAAATTCATTGTGAAATAACCTTTCATATAATTCTCACAGTCGTTTCTTATGGGAGTAGGGGTGGACCAAATTATCTCATTGCATCCAGTACAATTTACATTAAATCAACTTAAAATAAAACATCTAATTATACTTTTTTTTTTTTCCAGAATAAATTTCACACAAACAGTTAATATTTTACAGCTTCCAAGTTAGCCAGATTTATTAGGGAATGAAAAATTAATACTCGGACACTAAGAGAAAATGTTTTGTAAACTGTTAATTGCTATGGCAAATCATTCTGAACCAATAGATATTAAAGAGTGTGGTTCCATATTTAATCGTCCAAGGTCACAATTATCAAGTCTAAATTCATTGTTATGATTGTAAGAGAAGACTCTAAAGTTGAGACTTAAAGTAGCATTATCCCAGTAGAGGCAATGTTAAATTCAATCAGACCTAGTTTGGGGTTACATGGCAGTGCTGTGGCACAGTATAGCCTCCCCCTATAGCAGTCTGACCACAGTGGGGAACATAATCACTTATTCAGCGGCACTTATTCTTAGTTCAACAACATCTCCATAGTAATGGGCACAGCTGCGTTTACAGCAGTTCTCTGCAGCTTCAGTGGATATTGTAGCAAAGCTGTACATTTCATTGCTCCAGTCGCTAAATGAAAGGCCCAAATGCAGGATGACAGATGAGGGCACTCAACTGGGACCACAACTTCATTGCCTTAGCGTTACTGAACAGCAGTGGGCATCATCTTAAACCAATGTACATTTTGAGATAAACACTGACCCCTAGTGGATAATTTGCACAAGTGTATTTTTAAAACCCAGAGAAAAATAAATCTGCAGCACACAAATGGTATATATTGGCCCGAGCCAGTAACGAAGTAACTGGCGAGGGCTATTGTTCTTCGCCGGTTTCTTTCTTTTTTTTTTTTTTTTCTTTTTCCCCACATTGAATCGCCTTTTTGACCCCCTGAACATGGACGAAAAGTCCCCAAACCGGGGTCCAGATCGATCGGCCCGGCGAAAAATTTGATAAAATGGGCATCGCAACAATGACCCGAGTGACCCGACTCAACAGCGCCACCTAGAATTGGACCCCTATGGGAGTGTGGACAGGCAAAGTTTGTCGCAGGTAAATGAAATTCGGAACAGTGATAGAGAACAATGAGACAAGCCAAAAGATGAATTGGAGCATGACCCTATGACGAACAGGAAGTCGGCCATATTGGATCAAACATTCGGCGCCGTTTCGACTTGAGTGTCTACAAAAAGATTTTTGGGATACTCCTTACGGTTCGCCCGTAGCACGCCGGCGAAAAACACCTTCATTTCCTGTTTTTTCGGTGACCTGTCACGGCCACAGGCATTGTCCTAGAGAACTCAAATTCAAATCACAATTGTGTGATCCCGGCCTGAATGTAATGAAATATGAAATCTAATAAAAGTGAACTCTATAGCGCCCCCTAGCATAGACATGAAACGTCAACATTATCGGATTAGTACCAAATTCGGGGATTAAATTCTATGTATGATTACAAGCAAAAAAGTTTATTACGGACATGATGCATTTTCCACCATTGGCCAGCAGGGGCGCAAAGACTCCCCCAACAAATAGTTAAAAAAATTATTGCACAGACAGGCTTTGTCCGATTGTGCTGAAATTTGAATCACTAATGCGTCATCACAGCCTGAATATAATACACTATAAAACATATGAAAAGTGAACTCTATAGCGCCCCCTAGCATAGACATGAAACATCAACATTTTCTGATTAGTACCAAATTTGGGGATTAAATTCTATGCATGATGACAAGCAAAAAATTCTATTATGGACATGATGCATTTTTCACGGTGGCCAGTAGGGGCGCAACGACTCCCCAAATAAATAGTACAAAATTTATTACAGAAACAGGTTTTGTCCGATCGTGCTGAAATTTGAATCACTAATGCCTGATCCCAGCCTGAATATAATACACTATAAAACATATGAGAAGTGAACACTATAGCGCCCCCTACCACAGACATGACATGTCAACATTATTGGATTTGTACCAAATTCGGGAATTAAATTCTATGCATGATTACAAGTCAAAGTCTATTTTGGACATGGTGCATTTTCCACTGTTGGCCAGCAGGGGCGCAATGACTCCTGAAAATATTTAAAGGTGCATTATGTAACGTGTCTAATGGACGAGCTGTCGGCCTGGGCGGATGTCGGGAAGAGAGTGGCGTGCCGGGGCGGTCGCGAGTCCCCGGAGGTCGCGTGGGGGGGCGGTGCGCGCCGGGGCGAGGGCCACCATCGCCGCGCGCGGCTTTAATAATAATTACTATTCGTGTACCAAGAATACCGTTTCATTTAATTCCAACTAATACCATTAATAAATCACAAAGACAGAAGACATAACTGAATGTTTATGGGACTGGTGTATTTGTGTAGTCTTTTCACAACCACACAACCATAAAACCTTATGTGCACTGAGGCCCAAAGCTCGTATTTACAAAACAGAAAGATATAAAGTCATGAAATTAAGAATCCTTCATTTATATTTAACAACAGAGCAAGAACGAACAAACGTGTTCAGCACTGTTAAGGTTTTTGTGCAGACTTTTTACAATGCTTCTAAGTGTTTCTTATACTACAAAACTCAGATATAGTACATATTATATGCCATCCATGGTCAGGGAGACAGAAAAAATAACACTGAAGACAGATTCCACTGAAATCTAATGTATATGTTGGCATTTTCGGAAAAAAAGAAACCTGTAGTGTTTCATGGCACCAAATGCCAGATCAAATATCTGGATGGAGACATAAGAACAGAACAGAACTAAAACAAAATTGGACGAATGCCATGCTAATAAGAAAGTCTCAGGTAAAACTGGACTACAAGTTTAATGATCTAATTTAAGTGTGCTGGTATATTTGGAGATCTATTAAAATGTAATTGGCATTGCTGAGATCAAAAAACTCTTTCTATTGGGCAAGTTGGGTCCACATTCGTTCTGTGTATATTTTACTCCCCTGCAATGGTTACATGTTTTTCCGTGTTTGTTTTTAACCAGTGTAACACTACTAACAAGTTTCAACAAAAAAGAGAAAGCGTCTCTGCCCCCACTTCAGTTGGTAGCAGCTCCTTTTATACCAGTTCTTTGTAAATAATAATCAACAAATCTCCTTGTGGCTGCCGATAAAAATAAATAAGTTTAATAATGAGGTCTGAACAGTCAGCCCAGCAGCAGTCCAGATAGTGCGTTCAGGTCCCTCATATAAGGGTTGTCACTGAGGATGCGGTCAATGCGTTGCTTTTGGTCAGGGAAGATGTCATAGAGTTTCTTCTTGAGCTCTGATGTTTCTCCTGGAGAGCGTTGGGGAGGGGGAGAAGGTGAAGGGGAAGGCGATCGGCGCGGTGGGTGCCACTCCGGGGGGCCCGAGTGTGACCAGTGGGCGTTGGGGTGAGAGAGTCCAGTGTGGGGAAAAGGGGGAATGGAAACAGAGGGGTGAGAGGAGTGCAGCCCTGGAGCATACACAGCCTGCTGCTGATGGGAGCTGGGCCGCAGGTCTGGAGGTCTCAGAGGAGGGGGGGTCATAGGAAGCCGCCTGCAGGAAGACACAACCCCAGTGAGTGTGTGATATGGGAACTCCACAGACACTGGTGGGTGGATGTGACAGTGGATGAATTAAAGCCTCTGATAAGTCCTGGATATAGATATCCTAGGGGTCATGCAATGTGGCACGCTTAAAACTTTTTCAATAATCATAATAATAAAGGGTAGATAGAGTAATATAGAGGGTAGAGAGAGAGTGGGTAATAGAGTGTAGACTTGGGTCCTATTCTAAAACAAACCTGGCATCTTTTCGGAGGAATTCATCTATGTGAGGCCCTTTTCTTCCAAGTGGATCATCTGGAATCATAAAGTGGTCCTCTACAAATGTAAACTGAAGCAACCTAAAGTAAATAGAGAATAAAAAGTGAACTATTTTTAATTGCAGAGTGAAAAGTGTTTTGTGAATGAGTGAAACATACCGCTCCTGAATAATCCAGCGCCAGGTCTCTGAGGTTTTAACAAAGTCCCTCAGGTTGTCATTGGTTACAATAACGCCATCAGTCTTTTCAGCAAGATGCAGCAAGAACCTGACAAACAAAAACCTTTTCAAATAGACAGTGGGATAGTGGAGAAGCTGAGTCACTCTCAGAAGGAACTGAGTGTTACAATACAATGCACTGATGGTAACCAACCCTATTCTGGGTTTTCCTGAATACGCGTTCACATGACATCTTTCCATTAAGCTGCTACTGTGACCCAGGGGGATTGAGGCGGAAACTGGCTAGAGTTAGAACGTAGATGCAAAGTGTGTTCCTGTTTTTTTCTGGAATTTATTTATAATCTTTAAGACACAGATTTAAAAATTTTACTGTTCATTTTAAAGTGCAATTTGGTGGAAACGATATAGAACTGCAACATCACTCTAAAACGTCATCACTAAAAAGCACCACACTGACAGACCATGCTGACGGCCCCTATAGCTGCAGTTCAAGATGGCAAGACAATGACTATAGCACAGAGTACAAAGCAGTGTGCATGTATATGGGGAAGGTAAAACTGGGAAATTAAAGCAACAAACATTCACTCAAAATAAAAATTAAAAGGACTGAATAATATAGGGAAACCATGTTTAATGGACCTGCATACCTTTTGAAAAAATAATAATGAAAAAAAAAAAGAATTAAAAAAATTAATTGCACACTTGCAAGTTTTGAGATTGCAATATACAATTAAAAGGTAGGATTCTGTTCAAACTACACATTATAAACAAATCTAGAAGCATTAATATTTAAGATGACACTGAAATCTGAACTCTGAATGTCATTTTTTGGTACCTCCTGACAATAGAGAAAGGCTATAGGTGTTCTATATAGGTTTCACGTACCTATCATCATGTGAGGCTATTCTTTGTCCACAGACCTCTCTGGAGGGAGTGAATGACAGCAACCGGAGATCTTCAAGCTGGTTCAGAAAATGTTGCTCTGGAACAAAGATTATATTAAGAGTTTATGATAATAATACAAAGCTGTGAAAACATGATTTTCTGATGTGCTTCGTACCTGTTGTGAGTCTGTCTCTTTTCTGTCTCCACTGAGGCACAAACACCGTGATCTCCCTGTGGCCCCGCCTCCAGAAAACCTCCACAGCCAACGCTATTCCCCGACAGGAGAAGAATCGATTAAGGCCGTGGCTGCACAGCACAAATGGCGGAACATAGAAAAAAGGAGCAAAAAAGGAGAAACTGTCAAATACACAACACTCACATTGTTAAGTAATGCTCAGAGTAAAAGACAAGGTGATGTTGAAGTGGTTAAAAGTTCCTAATTTCAAAATAAAAAGGCTTGGGATATAGGCCTGTAAATTTTAAAGTGCGATATATTGCTAAAGAGAAATTCTGCAAAACAAAGCAAGATAAATATATATTATTATAATAAGCCTATTTTTAAAAAGACAATATTAAAAGGCCTGCAACAAATAAAAAGGCAGAAAGAACTGATAATTAGACAAATAAGTTATTTATACTACTCAGTACAGCTCAAATCTTATGTTTATTACAAGAAAATGGCAAAAATCTCTACACTCTTGTACAGAAAAATTACCCACGATAAATATTGAGACCCAAATATATATTGTTTCAGCTTTTATATATATATATATTGAAAGATAAGTCGATATAGTAATTACTGTGACAGGCTTATTGGGATATGAATTAATACAGTTTTTAAAGCATCTACCATAAGTCAGCTTTATAGATTTCTTATTTGAGCCTCTTGTATTTTTGCTCTGAGGCCTCACAATGTCGTAGTGCAGACAGGGAAAAAACAAACTACACTACACGTTTACAGATCTACATGACTACATAACATAGTCACAGTCACAATACAGGGAAGTTCCACTAATCACGTAGGGTTGCAATTAAAAATTATTTTAGAAGTAGACTAGCTGGCGGCGATTATTTCTCATCAGCTAGCCAAACAATTATTTCAAATCTATTGTGCAATGGAGAATTCTAAACAAAATATATGCTACTGTCAAAGTCAACAGACAGCATTCAGTCACTACAATTATTAAAATCAGCTGCTGAAGGCCTACTACCAAGGAAATTTCAGAATGAAAGTGAAATTTGAAATTGCATTTATATACAATGATTATTTGCCTTAATGGAAGTATAATTAGCATATTGCCAAATAAATATTTACACATTTGAACTGCTTTTTGTTTTGTTATACATCACTGAAGATAATAATGAGAGATCGATCAATATGGTTTTCTTCATGGGCGATATGGATTTGGCTGGCCGATAAGTTCTGCCAATATTTTTGGGCCAAGAAGAAGGGCAATAGTCAAGTAAAGATTTATTATAAATTCTTTAGGTTTTATTTGATTGGCCCAAACAAAATATTGACCTCTGCTGGAGATTTAAGGCTGATGGCCAAGCACTAAAATATCACTGGCCTACCTGTAGTGATGATAAACTTGTGTAATATTCAGCAATAATACATGCAATGATAAAGTCTGGTTGTACATTGTTGCAGCATATTTTTGTAGCTCACCTCCACCTCCACTCTACTGTAAAATATGGAGTGAATACAAAGCAGCAAAATATGTTTGTCCAACTGTATGAATAGCATGTGTCTGCTGTAGTGTATTTAAATCTACTTTCACTTCTCAAAAGTTTTCTCAAACAATAGCCACACCAGCACAAGCCTTATGATTGATTTGCATATGTTCAGTGCAGTGTTCTGTCAGTGTGCAGACTCACGCCATTGCCACATTGCTGCCATCAATGATGATGTGTCTCAGACCAGGCCGCCCAGGTTCATTTGGCAGTGTCAGAGTATAGGGAGTCCTCAAAGACTGGTGGAAACGAGCTAAACCAGTGACCGGGGGCACTGGGGGCTCACTGGCTGGAGGCATTCGTGCACCATTGAAACCACCATGGCCAATCGTTTGACAAGATGATGCTGGAGGTCGGTTAATGGCCTGAGCCGACTAAAAACAGTAAATAAAAACATACTTCTAATAAGAACTTTTAAAAAGTGTTCTACAAATAGAAATACTTACACTGGGAATTGAAGACATGGAGCTGGTGGCTGTTAGCCACTGAGGTGTACTCCGCAGTGCTGTCACTGTCTCCAGTTTAACTGATCCCCCCAAAGTCTTAGTTCCACCCCTGGATAAATAGTCCTTCTGAGTCACCCCACTTCCACCACGGGCCAAGTACTCTGTTCTGGGGTCCTGATGGCTCACAGCCAACATGGGACATGTCCTGTTATCACCCGCTTTGGTTTCTTTGGGGATGACTTCGTCTTCACCTTCATCATCGTCATCGTCATCGATTGTGATGACTTCATAGTTTCCTGCTCCTCCTTGAGCACTCGAGCTCCTCTTGATTGCAACAATCTGAAAGACAGGTTAATTTGGTTATTTTGTATTTATTGTGAACATCCCATGGAAGACAGCAGGTTGTTACCTGCTGGGTGCTGGTCTCGCTGTGGCTGCACTGTCTTCGGTGGCCGAGGCCATTACTACTTCCTGCTTGCTGGTTCGGTCGAATGTTTTCTTTTGCTTTTCCTGAATCCACCAATGCCCTGTTGTAGTCCCAGTCCTTTCCTCTGCACTGAGACATGTTAGTGGATGAACATGAGGAAGATGATGGGGCGTCTGGAGAGCGTGAGGAGTTTGTCACTCCTTTCAATCGTTTGGTTTCTTCATCAATCTTCTCCAGCAACACAAATGTATCTTCTGTTTGACCCGCTTCTTGTCTCACAACACGCTCCACTACTTCTTGCTGGTATCCCATTGTTCTAAACAACATAAAGAAATGTTACTAGAAAGTTACTGTTTAACATATATACATAAGAGCTGAATACTGTATAAAAGACTACAGATATAAAAAGGTATATCCAAAAACAATAACTCGATAATTAAAACTGTATCAACACATTTTTATCACTTTGAAATAAATAAAGCATGAAAAAATTATTGGCCAAAAATAAAAATCCGATTCACCTAAAAAAATTGACTAAGCAGCGGAGATTGGTTTCTGGGCTGACTGCCTCTCCATCATCCAGGTTGCCCTCACTAGCGGTCATCATGATGGGGCCGACAGTGTTGGCCTTGGAGCAGAAGGTTGAGGTTGAACAGGGGGTTTTGGATCGACAGCTGGCGCTGCCCCCTCTGCCTTCTCTATCCCGTCTTTCCCGCTCGCGAGCCCTTTCTGGTGAGTCCTCTCTACGCTCCAGGGAATATTGTCTCTTTGTGTCTCTGGTCTCACTTGCTGATGAGCGCCTCTTGTGGCTGGGTCGTGTACCATTGAGCAGAAGCACCTCAGGTCCCAGTCCTATTCCACCTCCTGCTTTGGGAGCTGCAGAGGGGCCATTCGTCCCCTTTTCATCAAAACTAGCATCCAGGATACGGTGGGAGAGCTCAGTCACAGGAGTGCTACTCTGAGATCGATCTTGTTCCACCTCTGCTATACTCTGATTAAGTGCCTGTTAAAACAAAGTAAAACAAATCAGCCAATAAATAATATAATACATAATAATGTTAAGATGTGGCACTACACCTTAGGACTAACCATTGGAGATGCACTAGAACCAGTGGGGCTGTGTGCCAAGCCCAGTAGCTCCTCCTTCAGGGCGCTGGGCAGAAGCAGAAGCTCCATAGTGTACTTGTCATCCCTCTCCTCCACAAAGGACTTGAAAGCTCGCTTCAATGCTGGTTCTCTGTCACTAGGTAAACTTGTTTTGTCCTGAACCATACAATTAACATATTTTTATTCATGAACATTGTTTTGGTTTTATTATTACAAATTAACTAGCGAGCCACACCTGAAACAATGCTACAAACTGCTGAACCCTACTTTGGGCCATCACCACAGGTTCTGCCTGTCCCAAGAGCCGCAGTCTCCCGGGCTCAGGTACCTGAACCTCTGCACTTGTGTCTCGTATGAGCCTGTCGAGGAAGAGGCCGCGAGCACCCGCGAAGATACAATGCATGTCCACAGGGTAACACTCTTCTTTTACAAGCTCTGGATCACACAGGCCTCGGATGTACTCCTGCCACACAAACACAAGAATACATGTAAGGCAGGGCACTGATCACATTTGTTTTCCTCATATTGATCAACCATGGTTTTTGATATATATTTTTTTATTCATAAAGCACAAAAACACATAAAATGGCTTTCTTTGTGAAGTTCCTGAACATAAACAATAAAGACTGCCATGTCAAAACAAAAATAGTCAGAGCATATCAATACTATTAGGGATGTCTGAATCTCAATCTTGATTTAAACGTAATTACACGGCTTTAAGAATAGGAGTGGATAATAGTAGTCTATACTTCTTATGACACACTGAAGGAATCTCCTGGTAAACAGAAAGAGAACAGTGACTGGGCTGAAATTGGGACACATTTTTCGATCATTAGTCTAAACAAAAATACTTCTGATAGTTTCAGAGCGTAACATGATGACTCACAAAACGAGAATCAATGACAGACGTAAAATACAAATTGGGCGTGGAACAAGGATACATTAGTTACATCACAAGTTAATCCGGGCAGGGGGAGTGGCAATATACACTTTCTTCAACTGTTTACTAGCATACACAGTTACTAGGGTATACGAATGACTTCTCTGCCCAGTGCTGGCGAGCTGATCAAGTTGCACTTGAAACTATATTTCGTGTAGTTGTGAAAGCTCTGAATAAATGAATATTTGACAATGGCACAGCGCTATGCTAATCAGTGAGCACTGACACACCTGTCCAGTGCAGAGTGACGTCTGGTGCGGTCCAGTTATGTAAAACATATAATTAAACTTCAATGTTTTCAGTAACTTCTTACCTTAGCTTTCGACACACTGTCTCTATTCCCGAGGAGCTGGAGCCAAATCTGCCGCGATGTTTTGCTTCCCGTGTGGTCCAACAAACCAATAATAGTAAAGGCCACCTTAAAAACCTGTTCCACCCTCGGCTTCGCACATTTCAGCTCTTCCTCTTTGTCCTCCAGAACCGTAAACTCGTCCACCGTGTTGCCGTCTTGCATGGGTCTCCCAGGGGCCACAGGGAGCTTGCCGCTGGGCTGCTCGTCGTACGTTAGCTCGGTGCCTCGTCTCAACCCGAGGAGGGGCCGCGTTGTTGACATCTTGTCTACAGCTTCCTCCTTCGTTTTAGGAAGTTCGCTTTACATGTCCCAAATCTGAAAGATCGCGGGACCTAAATGGACTAACATTTTATATGTAAGGTGTGCCGCAGGAGTATGCGCAGCCTTTACGGTGCCTGGCGACATGGGCACAGGTGAAGCTAAAGGGCTAGTAACGCGGAAGCCCCGAGTGACGTATCCGGAAAGTCCCACATGACGCCATCAAAACACGACACTTCATATGTTTGTCTGATTTGTCAAATCAAACAAATGCAGCTTTCCCATCCCAGAAAGATTTCTGCTCAAACATATCGCCAGACATTGATTTTGGAAATGTACTGTTTATACGAGCTAACCAACTGTAATGTCTGAAGCTACTGTTTTTAGCCCAAATTAAAAATTCCTCATTTATAATTTTTTTATTGTTAATTTCACAGACATGACTTATCTGTGTCCCCAGACATGAGGTAGGAATGTTCATATAGCTTATAATGACAACAATTGCAATGCTGATTTGTTGTCAATTATAAAGAGAAGGCAGAATGAGCTTCATGAGGCTCTGATTTGGGTTGCCAGTTTCAGTGATGATATCCAATTGATTTGAACCTAAACGGACTCTCTGTTCTAGAATTGTCAAAAACAAACAAACAAACATGTAATGTATTGTGATTTTATTGTCTTTCATATCCTGTAAAGCACCTTGCTTGTTTTAATTTAGTTTAATCTGTTAGAAATGTTATTACCTCCGCCAAGGAGGTTATGTTTTTGCCGGCGTTTGTCTGTTTGTTTGTTTGTTTGTCTGTTAGCAACATAACTCAAAAAGTTATGGACTTTTGATGCAATTTTCAGGATTTGTTGGAAATGTGAAAAGGAAGAACTGATTTCATTTTAGGGTTGATCCGGAAGAAATCCTGGATTCTGGATCACTTTGAAATTTTAGTTAACATTGTGGTAAATGGGGCCAAAAATTTTGTTTCTCAATATCTCAGTTAATTATTGACCAAACCCCATGGAATTTGACTCATCGATGGACAATGGGATCCTCTTTCATATTCCAAAGGCTGATCCGGATCTGATCCAGAAGACTGATTTTATCGCAATTTATATCAAAAATGGGGGTAGTCCTTGGCGGAGGTCTGCGCTCTCTGAGTGCTTTTCTAGTTTTTTTAAGGTGTTCAATTCAACATATGTTTATGATGAGCAACTTATGGGACCATAGACTGTCTGACGTTAGAGGGTTAGAAATACTCAGTTCAACACAATATTTCAGATTCAGTGACAAGCCCTTATTATTAAATATAACATTACACAAAACGCTTTTAATTTTAATTTTATTTTTTTATGGATGCTACAGTTGAGGTAGAGGACCAGTAAAGAAAGAAGTTTTCCTCTGGATCCTCGTTCAATTACTAACTAACAACTGCACTCTAAAAAGCACAAAGCGAAATCATTCAGTCAATAAAACTGATGAAAAACAGTCAAGTGTTTTTCATACCCAGGTTCAGGGGTAGTTGATTGGATTTAGAAGGTAGGGTCTAAAGTTTGGTGTTGAGGACAACTCTGATACATGTGGTGAAAAATCTTACCACATGATTTTCACCACTGAAAATCATGTGGTGTAGAACTGTAGAAATGTGTAGAACTGACAGTTCAGATTTTGATTTTCTCTGATTCTGTGGTCTTGATTTCTGGTGGCTGGTTTGGTCTGAGCAAGATGCCGCTCTGCCTTCTGCTGGCCTCCCTCTTCTCTTCTGCTCCTTGGAGGTCTGTCGCTAGTGAGGACGTTCTCCAGCCTTTTCGTCTGGCTTTCAGGAGGCTGGCTAGTAGCCTGCTGTCTGTGGACCTCCCTTTTCTGGGGTCTGGTTCTCTGTAATCAAGGATGTGAGGATCTCTGTGCAGTTGTTTGGCTCCTTCTCCTCTCAGATAACCTCCTCCATAACCTTCTTTAGGGTATGGATTTTTTTGTGGTTCTTAGACAGCTCCATCTCCAGTTGAGCACATTTGTGGTCTATTTGACTCCTTATGTCCTCTACATCTTTTTCAGACCTCACTCTAGCCTCTTGCACAGACCTTTTGCAGTCTTCTCTCACAAGTTTGAGAGTGCAAGTCTTCCTGGTGCATTAAACTTTGTTCCTCTATTATATTCTCTGCTGCAGAGAGTTCTTCCTCCAGTTTTCTGTTTTTCTCCTCTTTCAGGTCCAACTCACACTAAAACCAGCTCCTCTGCTTCTCCATGCTCAGTTCTAGAGTCACTATTGCCTCTTTCACTGACTGGAAATCTTCCACCATGGCCTGTTTTGTGAGCTGCTCATTTTCTATCACATACTGCAGATGCCGTATGATGTTGTCCTTTTCTCTGAGAGCTTTTTGAAGTTCTGCACTTCTCTCTCTCTCCTTTTCAAGTGCCCACTGACCCATCTCTATATGGTCCAAAGCTTTCCTGGTCTCTTTTTCACTATCCCATAGGTTAATTTTTGTCAGGAGCAGTTCATCTTCTAATCTGGCAATCTTCTGCTGCAGGCACTTGTTTTTAGCTTCAGTTTCCTGCAGTTTCCTCCTATCGCTTGCCCTCTTCATACTCTTCACTCTGGTGTTTATTGATCTGGATTTGGACTTGAAGTTTGTTCTAGAAATCCCTTAGGAATTGTTCCAGCACCTATGCTATGACCAGCTATTGCTCCCCTCTCCCCTCTCCAAATCCATTTGTGTCGTGTTGATAAAGAAATGGTCAGAAAGCACTATTACTTTGTGCTGAAAAATATGTTCTGTTCTGTAAGTATTTAGTTTTTTTTCCCTTGTTGTGAAATTGAAATTGGTGTTGATTATCAAGTGTTTTCCTTAATATCAAAATAAAGTTTTATATATCTATTAAACCTCAGCACCTGCAGCCAGTCATTAATGAGTGCTAATGTAGCCTCTGCAGCTCAGTGAGTGATGCATGGCTGATCCATATTGGCCTGTCCATATAGGCTTGTATAACTTTGTCTACCTAAAAATTCTTTCTCTCATTCTGTAGGATGAACACTTAAAATTGTAGAACAAGAGGGATTTGTTATAGAATGAGGTGGGACAAGGAGGAACAGACTCAAGAAGTTTAAGCTAATAGATAATAGCCTAACTGTTACACCATGTTTTAGTGTTTCAGATGTAACACACAGAAAGATTGGAATGGCAAAAGATAACACATTACATCACTGAATGTAGGGCTGTGTGAGAATGTAAAATATAATCATGTATGTAAATCTATTTTTTAAATATATTTCATCTTGCATCAATAAAAAGAGTGTTATTTTTTAAATAAGTGGGATGAAGGAGGAATGGGGCCAATATGGCAAAATGCATGACAACCAAAAGAGTTACCGGTGGTCACAAAACAGTAGATTAAAAGGCACATTTATAAAGTATTTCAGATCCAGTCTACAATCATCCAGTCAGATGGATTCACACACACTGTCATGGTTTCAAAGTTTGTCAAGGCCCCACTTGTTCCTGATTGGCTGATCTCTGACAGTGACACAAGTATTGGAGCATGTCAGTGCTGCTGGAGCACATAAAGAATAGGCCTTGTGTAAGAATAACAGTTGTCATTATGTGAAAAAGGCTGATAACCCTATCATGAAAATGAACTAAAACATATAAGTCTGTGTGTGAACATTTAAAACAGGGCACAATGCCAGTAGTTTTGTGACAAAATGAAAGCTTGAGAATGTGTGTATAGGTTATCAAGTGTGTTTAGTCCCAGAGGGGCAAGTTTTAGATTTGTTTCATTTAGTTTGACCCTTATAGTGTCAGGCTGTATCTAAAGACCGTTTATGTACTTAGCATTCTTCTAAACTAAAGGAGTTGTTTTGATTGCCTATAAACTTTGTCTTAAACTAACTTAGGCCTAGGCCATAATATTAGCTTATAAGTCAAAATACAACTTGGTCTACAGAATAGGCAGCTGCTGATTTTATTATAAGGGAGTAAAAGTAAAAACTGAATTTCTCAGTTGTTTTACCTCATGGACCCCCCTAGATGGCACTGTAGTCTGCAGAATGGTATTGTCACTGGCCTTGTGCCTTTTTCCCCTGATGGCACAGTGATATCGACTAAAAGATGTTTCCAATCAATATTTTTCATTATTTGAGGCCCAGGCGCACACAGCGGAGGAATATTGTCTTTATTAAAGTTCATTGTGTGTCTATTATATGGGGGGAGAGGAGGGGGTGAGGTAGAGAGGTGGCACTTTGCACATTGCCACTGTTATGATCTTTGATAGGAAAAATTGTGTTCTGATTTTTGTGTGTTCAACTCACACTTCATATTATTTCAACTATCTGAACTACTACTGAAGAGAATAAATAAAATTGAAGATGACCGTTGCACCAAACATTTTATAAATTTAGACTCAGTCATACTTTTTACCTAAACAGTTGGCCAGTCCCATTTCCTTAACAATTTATACTAAATTATAAAATGATAAATACTAGTCTTTTCTGTCATTCCATAAAATCAAGACAACTATTTAACAGTTTCACAATTTCAAAGCATTTATGGTAGAACTGTCCAAAACTAATGAAACTCATTTGGACATGTTGGGACATTTTGATTATTCAAACAATAGCCTTTGGAGTCTACAGATGTAAAGAAGCAGGTGTCAGTTCAAAGTGGAGCTGTGTAAAATAGCAGAGCTTCACCGGGGCTCTGTGTGTGTGAGTGAACAGCTGTGGCTGCACCTGTGAGGGGAGAGGTGCTCTCACACCAAACACAATCTCTGTGCTGTGAGACACGTCAGGGCACTGCTGTTTGTGACCAATGAGGTGAAATTATGAATCAAAGACAATTACAATGAGCTTTTAATATGTATATAGTGTTACATTTTTCATAACAATTGAGTTTATTTAACAAACATTCCTATGGCCACACCACCTTACTTTTTGGTTATTAATATAAAACAACAACACACACAGTATGTTTACTGCATGTTTGTAATTTTTGTTGTATTCCTGCAAAATGCTATTAAATGTCAAAGCAAATTTTAAGTTTAATAATTGTTTGTGCCATTTTAAATATATAACAAAACATTTACAAAGAATCAAGAAAAAAGTGCCTATGCCATGATTTGTAGGTATTTGCATTGTTTTTTTATTTGCACATGCACGGAAAACCCCCCCCCAAAAAACCAAAACAAAACAGTTTTCTTAATAT